TTTTTCCCCATTTTTTCCTCCTCTTTACCTCCCCACACCTTCTCTTTCTCTGCTATTTATTTTGCAACCTGTACCCCTTAACTCCATTCATCTGAAGAAGTCAGTTATGCCCACAAAAGCTCATGATACCATCTACATTTTTTGTTAGTATCAAAGTTGCTGCAGGACTATTTGTTGTTTTGTACGTTTTTTCAATTAGTAATGTATTACTAGCTTCTACAGTAAAGAAATAATTAAATCTAGTTGCAACTTTGGTTAGAATATAAAGCCTCTAATTGAACTGGAGTTCAACTGCTTCATTTGGCATATTTATAATCTTCTACGGCAGATGATCTCAAATACCTTAAAAATGTTAACAGGATGTGAAGCATATCAAAGTAACACTTGTCTGGCACTAGGTGTCAAATTAAGCTTCTTTAGTTCACAAGCTTCTTATTTTAAAAAATCATTTTATATTAAGCTTCTTTAGAAAAAAACCTGTAATACTTAAAACAGAATAAAGAACAAAGTGAGTATTGTGGAGGTCATCGATTCATAAAATCTATACAGTAGTACAGTGTTTCCCAATTGGTGCTCCGGGGAACCCTGGGGTTCCGTGAAGCAAAACTAGGGGTTCCACGAGGAGCCAGCACTCCCCCACCCCCTCTGAAAGAGAGAGCCGGCTAGCCAGCAGAGGCATGGGCGGTGAGTTGTCTGGGCTCATGGTGCCCATGCTCCACCAATATTTGAAGCTGGAACCCCCCCCCCCCCGCGCATCCTCCCACCCTGGTCCCAGAGTGCCTCTCCCCCCTCTCTGGACCCATCCCGTCCCTGCCATGCACAACCTTCACTGAGCTCCCCCTTGTTGGCTGCTGCTGCTCTGCGCAGTGTGCTCAAATAGGTGGGCGGAGATGCCCGGGCGTGACATAACATCACAGCCCAGGATTTTAAAACTCCTGGATGCTGTGTTGTGCCACATGGCTGAATTGCGGGTTCAGAGTCCAGGGACGAAGTGCAGACTCCAGCCCCACAAAGTAGAAGGCAGAAGGTAGGGGAAGGGGAAGGGCCGGGAGAGGAAGGGGCTTGTGCGGAGGGGAAGGGGAAGGGCTGGGAGAAGAAGGGACTTGTGCGGAGGGGGAGGGGAGAGGGGGAAGAAAGGGGAAGACACCAAAAGGACAGGGTAGAGGAGAGACAAATGCCAGGGGGCCAAGTGCAGACAATGATGAAAAAGGCAAGAGGGGAGGTGCTGGGAGAAGGCTTGGTTGCCACTGACTCACAGAAATATCAGTCTGGGGCCGCAAACTAGTGAGAAGAAAAAAAAATCCAAACTCCTACTGGTGTGGCCCCCAACTGAAGAGAAAGACACTCCCCACATTCCCCTCACATACCAGAGCCGGGGGGGGCAGGGCATGTTTGTAGAGGGAGGTGTTAGAAGAGGGGATGAGGAGGGGTAGCTTAGATGATCAGTGGGGGGCTACTGGAGGAGTGGGCACAGGGAGGAGGGAAGGGCTGGTGGACAGGGGCAGGTTGCAGGAGGGCTGAGGGCAGCGAGAATGGCAGGGGGCAGGACAGCCGAAGAAGGTGAGGAGTTGGGAGGCAGCAGGCACCAGGGAAGCTGATGGAACAAGGGGAGGAGACATGGCAGCAGAGGGAAAAGGTAAAGGTTTAAAAATATTTATTAATAACTTGGGTGCCACAGTGGCACATCCAAAGAAGCCACATGAACTCAGTACTGGTGCACAACACAAAATTCATTTTGCTCATGCGAGGAAACTCTTAGGCTGTGTCTATACTGGCGGTTTCTTGTGCAAGAACATCCTGCGCAAGAACATGTCCACACTGCCATGTGCAAGCTGTGCTTTTTCACAAGAGGATCTATGGCAGTGTGGACACTCTCTTGCCAAAGAAAGTGCCAATGGCCATTTTAGCCATAGGGCTTTCTTGCACAAGAAATTCATGTTGCCTGTCTACACTGGCTTCTTGCGCAAGAACAGTTGTGCAAAAGGGCTTATTCCTGAGCAGAAGCATCATAGTTCTTGTGCAAGAAGCCCTGATTTCATACATGAGAACGTCAGTGTACTTGCGCAAGAACACACGGCCAGTGTAGACAGGAAGCAAGTTTTTGCGCAAGAGCAGCCGCTTTGGCGCAAGATCACGCCAGTGTAGACACAGCCAATGGGAAGGAGGGAGGGAGGCTGGGGCAGGGAATGAGAGCTGGCTCAGCATGTCTGCATGGTTTGGGGGGAAGGTGCAGGGAAATTGAGCTCAGCTGGGTTGCAGCGTGGGGAGATCCAGGGAGCTGGGCTGGGGGTTGGGGGTGTGTGTGGGGAGCTCAGAGCTCAGTTTGGCTGCAGGAGGAAGGAGGTGCCAGGAACTGGGGATAGACTCAAGGGGAGGGAGGGGCAGGGAATCAGCACTTGGCTCAGCAGGGTTGCGGGGTTTGGGGGAGGTGCAGGGAAACGGGGCTCAGCTGTGCTGTGGGGGAGGCATGCAGGGAACCAGTGCAGGGCTCAGCTGGGCTGAGGTGGATGGGGGAGGGCATACGGAACAGATGGGTAGCTCAGCTGGGATGTGGGAGCTGCAGGGAACTGGTACTGCACTCCCTTGGATTGTGAGGGATGGTTTTGGGGAAGGTGCAGGGAACCAGCGGGAGTGGGCAGCTCATTTGGGGTTTTTTTTTTTTCTTTTTTGCTTGACAAACCTAGGGGTTCCTTGAAATTCTGGAAAGCTGAAAAGGGTTCCTCGGCCAAATAAAATTGGGAAACACTGCAGTAATAACTAGCAGACCCTGCTTAAGAAAGCCAGAAGAGATATTTGTATGTCCTTCCCACCAGTTTATTACCATAGAAAAAAAGCTATTAACATTTCTGCTATGGGAGAGGGGCGGGAAATTCAAAGTGTTAGTATGACTTTGAGATGAAAAACAACTTTAAAAAAATTTACAGAACATTGTGCACAAGTTCTCATATTGCTAAGCAGATGAGAATAATGTATATAATGATTTCATAAAAACTAGGCTCAACTGAATTTTCAAGATATCAGATAATAAGAGTTTTAACGTTGCTTTATTTTTCATACTTATTGAGAAGCAGTCTTTATAATTTAACTCAAGTCCCATAATACTAAAACCTTTCATTTGCAAGATCATGCTCAATGTTGTACTTTTCAATTAACAGAGTTTTATCCAAATGATATATAGAATGTTAAAGAATATCAAGGAACTGATTTTCTGCACTTTCAGGTTAACTTGAATCGTTTTTGTTCTCACTACTTAAAAACTCTTAAAATAATGTTTACATTTTACTTAAGAGAATTAACTATTTTCATTACTTTAATCCATTCAAATTGCTTGTTTCCTGCCATTTCTTTCAACTCTAGGCTTGTATTTACATATCTTTATTGCAAAAACTGACAAAAACTGTGAGTCCAGCTAAACACATAAGCTTAGCACTTAAGCTTTTTATACAATAAAAAGTATTTTTTATGAAGAGATATGTATTTAGAATAGGGATATGAAAGGTTAACAAGTTGCTCCAGCCCACGGGGCCCACCACAGGCAGGGGCTGCCCTGTCTGTGACAGGCCCAGTCCGACCTCCTGGCCACAGGTTACAAGCTGGTTTCCAGGGAGCCAGCTGGAGAGCCCACATTGAAGCCTCTCCAAGAG